CCCTGAAATTAAGGAGTCTTAGGGCCTCCCTTTCCTTAACAAGGTGACATGTACTGAGGCATGCCATGAAGAGATGCCAGTTTCAATGGACATAACATAGTTACGCTTTTCTTCCTGTTCTCTGCGTGGATAGAAGAGTGGCATATGTTGGGTTCTCAGGCTTGTGGCGTCAGGGTGGTGCCTGAACTTGGCTGCTTGCTTATATAAAGACTGAATGCCTAAGCTCTCCCAGCATGATTTTTTTTTCCTTAACCTCTGCTGACACTATGAATTGCAAAGTAGCCTGCAAGTTGCACTGCACCCATTCTCACTTCCTCCCTGCCCACAAGATTAAGTCCTACTAGTAACTAAACTCTCAGTCCACTCAAACCATCTTTAAGTCAATACTGAACTTCAAGATACAAAATGCTGTTTTCCATACAGAAGAAAAGTTTGAAATGCAGTTTTCAACAGCATGTCCGAGTTATTTCTTTCTCAATTTATCTCACAAGGTATTTAACAACTCTGATTTACCTAAGAGTCCTTAGATGAAATTTTTTCCTCACAGCAGAGTAACACCAATATGACTTCATTGGCTTAAAGCTGGCTCTATTTCCAGCAAGCAGGAACATCTTGACACCAAAAGATATGAACATGGCAACTCTTGCTAGTGTTCCCAGTCTGTGTGCACACATGGAAAAGGATCTAAGGAAGCTCTTTCCTTAGTGAGGTCAGCTTATCATAACATATACAGATAAATTAGCAAGATTATCACTTACCTCATTCTATCATCATGAGGTAGTTCATAATGCTATCATGACACTGGATTACAGCTGCATATATAGGAACAACACATGCTTCTACTCCTTTCATCTATAGCCTTTCTTCTTCCTCAAGCACATCACTAGTAAGAGCATGCAAGACAGATTCAGCCTGCTTTAATTAAAGCCTTCTTCATATTTTGACCCATTTAAGTTTAATCTTTCCACATATTGATTGTGACTGAAGTTTGAACCACATAGCAAGTACAAGATTAATCTAATTTCACTGCCTCAATTATACATAATTCTCACCTTCTGCGGGACTCTTGGATATGCATGCTTTAGTATTCACATCAAAATCTGCATGTGAATTTGCAAAACACAGTAAGATAAAATGTAGAATGAGCTGGACAACACAAAACCTGCCTTAATAAGTCTTTCCATGTAATCATTAAAATACAAAGTCAAGTACAGAACCCACTGTTAGTAATCTTCATCTATGTCTCTGTATCCTTATTTTCATCTGAAACTTGCTATATGTTATTGCATAAGCCCCTTTCCAATACTGCTGTAATTTCTCTCTACTCATTTACAGTTACCTCAATGGGAGTAGAACACACTTAGCACGCACCAGCTTCTACCTGACATGTAGAGGCACTTGTCTATGGAACCACTTTCCATGCTTACAGAAACTGTAAAGCTGCTAACACTGGAGAATATTTAGGAACTTTGAAATAAATTGCAGCAGAATCAAGGATAAAAGCCAGCATGTAAGCTGCAGTCATGCTCTGGCTATGCCACTACACCCTCTGCACAAACCAGCACCGGTCCACCAATCAAGCATCTGATAATTTCTGTGCTAGCACATTAGGTGCTATAGTACCATCTATAAAATAGAGCGGAGAGAAAAAAGAGCAAGAACAATCACACTGCATTGTCCTTGCAACAATGTGAACTTGAGTGTCTCCTGTGGAAAAATTGCTGACACAGTATTTTTAGAATTCAGTACAAGACTAGTTTGACCCACGTGTGTTTGTAAGGAACATAACAAGTAACGCGCTACAAAAACAGACGGGTTAAATCACTGTACTCAAATGCATCGCTGTATGTTGCACTGTTTGATTTGTTTGTATCATTATATACAGAAAAGGAACGGAGGCTATCTCTACAGTTGTTGCCAGACGCACAGCATAGAGTTTTTACAGTTAACAGCACTGCTCTCGGGAAGGCCCCGCCTAATCGCCGGAGGGAAGAAAGAAGAGAAGCTG